GCAATTTAACTTTCCTGTGTTAGGTTGGTACCTAACAGAGTTGAGTGGGGACAGAATATGTAAAGTAAAACAAAGTAATTATAGAAAAAACTGTGAACCTGAAGACAGAAGTTGAAAGGAGGCTGTTGGCTGTTCCTCCATTTATAAAGTCAGCCACAAGGTTGGAGGTTTTTTCCTCCATAATATAAGGCTTTGCTTCAGGGGATGCCATTTGTTTCTGGTAGCTTTGTCACATAGCTAAGCTTCAATAAGAGAAAGGCTCCAGGGCCTTTTGCAGTTTCAGCACTTTTCCTCTCTGTTCCCAACATTTCCTTTTATTCAGGCCAGGAATTCTCTTTAGGTAGTCCTTTTGCACATCTTGCCACTGGCTGTAATTAATAACCCGCTTCTAGAAATTCCACTCATTGTCTTTTTTCTTTTTTCTTCCCCCTTTTTTTTTTCTTCCTTTTAGAGGCTGTTCAGGATAATTACTGTCTTTAAAGTTTTATGAATCACAGTGTTTGACATCTTTGATGTAGACTGATTTTTCAGATAACTGCACTTTTTGTTCTAATGTTCAATTTGTCACTGTTACTTACAAGCAAATAAGAGATTTAAATCCCCAAAGATGCAGATGTTCTTTAGTTTTGTTGCCATCTGTTTTCCTGCCTACTGGATTCCAAGACTAACATTTGTTCATTTTAATGAAGCTATATTTATATAGTATACAAGATACAACAGAATAGGAAATAGATACAACAGAAATTCTTTAATATAAGTTGATTTTTAAATAATTTGATCACAGAGCAGTATCTTTTCTGATGGCTTTTATTCTCATGTGAACTTACCTTTAGCTAGATGGTGTGAAAAAACTTAATCTGCAATTAAGTTGTTTTGCTTAATTGCACATAAATTGTAGATCAGAAAACTGAAATTTCCTTGGAAGACTCCCAAGAGAGGTGCATGACATGACCTTAAATTACTTCACAAAATTTGCAATGTGCCATTTAAGCAGCAGTCTTCCTGAATGTCAGAAAGCCATACAATTACCTATGCTCATGGAAGTGGGACATATGATATTTGAATTCTCTATGTAATTTGGTGGAAACCTGATTTCTCACTCCAACAAATTGTTTTCTGCAAGCAGCTCAATCAAAAGGGATGAAATTTTAGGGTTTCTGTAAATAAGAGTCTGTGTGATTTATTAAGCTCCTGTTGGATTACTTCCCAATTTATCTACGTAATTTGTAGTTAAATTTTTTGTGATATTTAGGAGTAGTATTTCCCCAACAGGTGACAGGTTGAACAGCCCCTTCTAGTAGGCAATTATCTACATTTCTAACTCAGGCAAGCACAAGTAACCAAGATTTTGCAGGCACTTCTTTCTGTTAAAAAGAAGGTATTTCAGGCAGAAGTGTTGGTATTTGTTACAGCTTGTGAGATTACAAAGCAGTAAGTGCTAATTAAAGCTTTATTTATATTCAAAATGAAATATGCAGTCCCTAAGTGCCTTCATCTGTCCAGTAACAAAGTTTATAGTAAACACAGCTAATCCAGTGTGCTTAGAAGTGATATTTTGGGAGATAAGATTTCAGATACTCAAGGTTGGTTGGCTGTTAAAAGATTAGCCATATTTTTGGAATGAAAGGCTTGTTCATGCTGCCTTCCCCTTCTTTCAGCACTTAAATTTATCTTGTCTCCTTGTCCAATCTCCCTGAAATATTTAGAGTTCTTTGTAGTCAGACCATATCTCTTGTCAAAAATAATTTCAGTTAATTACTTAAACAATCTTGAGGCAAACCTTTGCTTGGTATAAATCAGCTGAATGGGCTTCTTAGGAGTCTATGACTTTATGGTTAATCCTTACTTCTGTCCACCTGTGCACTAACTGGACTTTGGTTTGGTGATTTTCACTCCTCCATGCATTTCTTCTAATCCACTGACTGCCCAGCCTGTGCATCCTGCTGTGTTTATGTCCTGCTCTACAGCCAGCTCACAGCAATTGAGCACTTCAGTGATTCATTCCAGACTGCTACTACTAAATAATCTCCTTGGCAAAAGAGGCTGTCTTCTTTCTGTAGCAGCCCAGTCCTAAAAATAACTTGGGCCAGCATTTCCTTTGTGCAGCCTCTCAGAGGCCAGTAATCAGGAATGATGAGGGTCCAAGGAATCTCCACCAGAGTGGGCAGATGCAATGCAAAGTGAGTGAGTACACATCAATATATAGGTCTGAAGGAACGGAGAACAACTGCATGTTCTCCAGCACCTGAAGCCTCAAGATGGGTCAAAGGCTGACCTAATATGCACCAAAAAATAGTATGAGGAAAGATGGGATGCCTTTACTTAAAAAAATAGACATTTGCAGAGCTTAGTAAGATAAATTCTACTTGAGACTCGAGAAGCAAAAACATACCTAGACTATTTATAGCTTCTGAACCTTCTTAGTCTGAGCTGAACTAATTCTGTATGTAGATAAAATCATCATAGCCTTTGTCAGTTCCTGCTTTTTCTCAGTCAATCTCAATGAATCCTGGGCATGTTGTAGGAAAGGAAAGGCGCCATATTAAATAGAGATGACATATAGAATTGAGCAGTACTATATGTCTACTGATCCAAAAAATCCCCAAAACCACAAGCAAAAATATCTTCATAGTAAAATGTGCTTTTTATTTCACTCAGCCATGGCAGTAGGAAGAAGCATGTTGAAGGATATGTCAGCATATTATATGTGCAACTGTCTCAATCAGTGAAAGGTCTTTTCAGTCTCTCTGCAGCATAAATATGTCATTCTCTGGCTTCAGAAGGACTTGGTAGCTCTTGGAATGCTGACTGGTCATTGAATCCCCTTTGCTCCATTATAAAGTGTACAGTGTTGCTTTGGCAGCTTTTGGATATGTAAAGCACACCAAGTGAATGTCTGTTCTAATGCCTCTTAAATTCAAATAACATGGTTAACATCATGTCCTGGCTTGAGAGCAAGCAAATGTAGATACATCTTAAATCCATATATTTTATACTTTAATGCACATAGCACTTGCTAAGATTGCTTCCTTTGAGCACAATATTTTGTTCACACTGCTCTGTAGCAACTCAGTGGATCTACTGATACATTTAAAATAAGCATTTGTGAAAATGCTGTGGTGGATCACAACTTAAGGTTGGTAAAACACAAATACATATCTTCCCAAGGGTCCTTCTTCTATTCCAGCCCCATCACTTGCTCCATGCTTTCTTCCTGTTTTCAGATTTTAGTCAGGTAGTTAGAGACATCTCATCTCCTGTGATGCTGCTGCTGCCCTGCATTCACCAGAAATCAAAGTGGGAACCCTGCAGTGTGAGATTTGCTTAGCTAATCTGAATTGCCAGAGGAAGGAAAACCTTAACACTCCTTGCTTTTTAACATTCTTTGTTGCATCTTTGTAGTTGTTTGGTTTCAGCTGCAGCACAAAGTCTGTTTGCTCTGCCTTTGAACAGAACACACACATGCAGAGGGGTTTTTTTCTATTTGCTTCAGGCTGCTAATTTTGACACCTTTGTAATAAATCTGTTGGGTAGATGCAAAGCTTCAGGCTTGGCAGAACCTCAGGAAATCAACAGAGGAGGCAGCAATTCTTGTAAGAGCAGGAGTTCCAAAGGCCATATATTAACAGGAATCATTTCCAGCTGAGCTAATCTATTTGAAAGTAGCAGGTACATGAAAAGGAAAAGCAGTTAGAGTGCATTACCAGAGAAGTGTTACTCCTTGTGAAGTGATTTCACCACTTAAAACCATCTTTCTGAATGCCTGTAGTATGATTCAGCCCTGAAGGGCCAAATACAAATGTGGTGATGACATGTAATTCCCACCATCCAGTGTTTCCTACTCTGGCTGGTTCTGTGCCTTCAGATTGCAAAGTGAATTAACAAAAAAGTGATTTCTCCTTATGAATCTGAAGGGGCTGAATATTTATGGCTAAATTTGTGGTCCTTAAACTTACAGCACAGATCTCCTCAGCTTCAGAGTTTATAACTGAGGGGAGGAGGCACCTTCCTGGGATGATTCAGAACCTGCAGCTGGGAGACTACAGCTGGTGATGACATTTCTTTTAAGTGTTTCAATTCTTGGTTCCTGCTGGTATATCATTACCCTTACCATTTTTAGGATAAAGAGTTCTGGGGGCCAAATAGCTTTGCAGAACCTAAATAGTTCTGCTGCTTGGAACCAGCAGGGTCCTTCATGTAGTCCGTGGAAGAAGTACGTGAGCAAACTCCCAATTTGGCTTCTTAAAATTTAAATCTTCTAAAATCTACTATCCATACACCTCTGCTGATCCAAGTCAGTAGAAGGTCACTTACCCCTCAGAGACATAATTCCAATTTCAAGAGATCATTTATAGATTATTTCTTTCTCCAGTGGCTAATAGAAATTTGGGCAAGCGTGCTTATGTTTTGGAAACCCATAGTAAAATAAATGAAAAAAATCCGTGTTGCAGGAAGACAGACTGATATTCCTGTAACAATGATTATCAGAATAATATGACTTTGGTTTTGCCTGGAATGCATTTTTCTCTGTACTGTGTGCACAAAAAAAACCAGTGCAGTATTTGCGTTGTAAGCTCCTGATGAATATAGTTTTTGGGGTTTTTTTTGCAAAATCTATCCAAAATGTTCTGCTCTATTATTTGGTTTGTAAAGAATTTTGAAGAAAAACTGATTATAAAAATTAGCCTCACAGAGAGCAATAAATCATGTGATATGGATATTTCAGTTAAAAAGCTGGTGAAGGAACTTTGCAATCAGTTTTGTGTATAATGAGAAAATTTGAATTGCCCTCTCTCTGAACTGATAAGTAACTGCAGAAACTACTTAGAAAAAGGCTCTCCTACACTCTTTTAGGAAAAAGAAAATGAAAAAAAAGGGTTTTTATGTTGTGGTTAGAGCCAACAGTGGAATCAGACAGAAGATACCAGTCCATACTGTGCTGTCATGTGTTAAAGCCCTTACTTTCTTAATATTCAAGAATTTCATTTTATTTTTGTTAGAATGATATGGGAGGCCAAAGAAGCCTAATAAACAAGTGGACAACTTTTCTGAAGGCCAGGCTTGTGTGTTCCATACCTGGTCCTGAAGGGACAGACACACATTTCGATGAGCTGCGTAAGTTGATTTCTCTTTAATGTTTATTTTGATGTTAGTAATACCTGCTTTTGTTGGAATTTTTCCCCCTCTGGTTTATAGAAGCACTGTGTCTTGTTTTGATTTGAATCTTCTTCCAAATAGGGCTAGTAATACCTCTGACTTTGATCAGAAGTCCCTAGTTATAGTTAATACTGATCTGATCAGAATTACAGTGTTTTTCCCTTTCCCTCAAAAGCTGGAAAGGAAAAATCTGATTTGATATAAAACCCACACTATCTGCAAAGGAACACATTTCAGAATATTGCTTCAAAAATTCACATGGCAGAAACTAAAATTCCAACAAAAATAAAACCTGGTTATATTTTTACGAATTTCCTAGTTACAGATGGTTAATGTAGAAATAGTCAGTGGATGTTTAACTAAAAAATTAAAATCCCCAAATATATTTTTCTCATTGCAGAAGATGTATTCTTACTTTCTACAAGAGATGAGAGGAACCCTCTTGTTTATGGAGTCTTCACTACAACAAGGTATGTGTTGGGATTGTATTTGCCTCTGAAAACAAATGATGAAGATATTACTCAGAACTTTTATACTTTTATATATTCTCAGGTCTTCTAGACTAGATCCTCATTCCTGAGAGTAGGAACTGCTGGAATTTGGTGTCCAGTGTTAGGGTTGTAGTCATTGAGGACAATATTTTTCAGTACTGGAAATAATAAATTATATCTAACTTAATTTGTTTGTGTGCCTATCTTTTGAGAGTGATTATAAAAAGTAATGTAAATGTAACAATCAAAAGCAAACTAGATTATTTCAGCTTCATCGAGTGAATTTGTAAATTTCTATCATATTTATTGAGCAACCAATAGTTACAATTTTAGGCAAATGATTGTTGTGAAGCCTCATTTCTGTAAGCAACTCTTAGACATCTGCTATTTCTTAGTATCAAAATTATTCTCTAAACTGATAGTTGAATGATTTTATAGTTCAGAGTTAATGAAAGGATAACCTAGCTTTATCTTAGGAGGTTGCACTAATTAATTAATGACCTTTCAGATCAATAGTGAGGTGATCTCTATAAAAAGTCAGAAAGAAAATTAAAAATTCTTTCTTTTGTCTCCAGAACCTTTGAATTTAGTGTAAATAATGACTAGCCAAATGCTGAAGAGTATGAGTACAATGAGGAATTGCCAAGACACTCCTTAATTCAGAAGCAGTAACCACAGTAGCTGCCTAGAATATATAACCACAAAAAATACTCTAAAACTGAAGTCAATATTGCACAATAAGGGAAATGGTTTGTCAAGCAACTAAAGTACATGCTACTCAGGAACTTGGCATGGTGTTCTTTGGAAAACTGAACTGTTTTAGATTTTTTTAGACAAATATATTTTTAAAAGGGAAAATGCATGAAAATTCAATAACTGTTTATTTTTATATCTTGTTTTTTTTTTGGTCTTTCCAATGCAACTTTTAATTCTCAGGGACCTCACCTATATCACTAATATATGGGCTTCTAGATGTGAACACAGTGTAAATTAATATCCTTCACTGGATAAAATTCTAATTAAAATAGCTAGTAAAAATAAAGCTAGTAAATGATAGCTGGAGACTGTCAGCCACTAGAAGAAAAAACACTCTATCAAGTGGTCCCAAAGGCCAAACCAGGTTTCAACCGAGCAAAGCTTAAAACTGTAACAATGATGCCTTAAGTTCTAGCTTTCATATTTTCCAGATTCTGTACTGCTTTAATATATAACTCTGAACTTCATATAAAGTGTTAGCAACTTCTCTTCACAGTTCAGTTATACAAAAAGAATAATTTTCCAGCCTGAGAACCAGGGACAGCATTGCAGCTTCAGGCCCAAATAGTAAAAACAGCTGGGAATTGAGGAGAGCAATCTGTGAGGATGGGACTGCATGAGCTGAAGCTGTAATGGGACAATTTACCCCAGTATGTAAATGGACCAAAATTTATAAAAGTGAGAAGACTTGCGACCGGTCATCCATCTTGGATCCATCTTGGGTAGAGCCCCAGCCAGGCTCTTGCACTGCCCAAGGTGTATCCTTTGAAGGCCTTTTAATAAATACCTACTTTATTCCTTTAACACTGTCTAGGCTCTGTTCCAGGTCAGCCTCTCTAGGCATCAACAACAGTGGCATTAAAAGTCTGTAGTTAGCAGAGCTGTGCACGTTGATTTTCAGCAGCACATCAGCCTCCCAGTGTCGGATTGATAAATAATAAATAACTTTTAATAAGTACCTACTTTTAATAAATACCTACTTTATTCCTTTAACACTGTCTAGCCTCTGTTCCAGGTCAGCCTCTCTAGGCATCAACAACAGTGACATTAAATGTCTGTAGTTAGCAGACCTGTGGTCATTGATGTTCAGCAGCACATCAGCTGCCAGGTGTGGGATTGATCCCAGCCCCATCAGGGGCTCCCTGGCTGAGGCACCAGGGCTGTGTGCAGCCTGCCCACGTTAAAGAATTCTCTTAAAACCTCTCAGATTTTCCTGTAATCATGGAATCTTAGAATCATAGAATCCACTGAGCTGGAAGAGACCCATTTGGATCATGGAGTTCAACTCCTGGGCCTGTGCAAGACACCGAGGAGTCGCGGGATGTACATGAGAACGTTGTCCAGAGCCTGTTCCAGTGCCCAACCACCCTCTGGGTGAATAACCTTTTCCTGATACCCAACCTAAACCTCTCCTGACTCAGTTTCATCCTTCTTCACGTTGCAGCTCGGTGTTCAAGGGCTCTGCAGTATGTGTGTACAGCATGGCCGAGATCAGGGCCGTGTTCAATGGCCCCTACGCGCACAAGGAGAGCGCGGATCACCGCTGGGTGCAGTACGAGGGCCGCATCCCCTACCCCAGGCCTGGAACAGTGAGTCTCTCCTTAATTACACACCTCTGCTTCTACTCAAAAAGCAATCGTGCTTCACACCCCTCCCTCCCCAGGCTGGTAATTTGTATTTTCCGCTCAGGATGTTTCAAATTATCCTCTCAACTCTTCCCCTCTGTTGATAGCTCAGACTTCTACCTACACTGTAAGTATATAAATATACATTTTTCCATGTCTCTCAGATAACACTGTGTCCAGACTATTTCCTGATTGTCTCTCATATTGTGGTCTCCCACTGTACAGCTATATTTCTGTCTGTTGGGGTCACCTCTAAGGCATCAATGCTTCATAAAAAGCCAGAAGTATTTCTTTATATAGTTATCACAGGTTTTTTTATCTGTATTTCTGTTACCTTCATGTCTGTTAAAATCATCGTGATAGTGTCACTAATTCTGTTGTGTCTATTTGTGCATATGCTGTGTTTTAAAGTAAAATAAGGAGCTAACTGCTGGACATGTTACGTGATAAAAAGTAAGTGACAGGAAGAAAAGAGAAATTTGGTATCTGGAAATACTTTTAACCCCAGTCTTTTAGCTGTAGCAGTTAAAAGCAAGGAAGAAAACTGAAAAACTCATTAAGTTTTCTTTTCCGACTTCTGTCACAGTATTAAATTTCGAAAAGCACAGGCCAGCATGACAGATGAGGAAGAAATGGTATTTTCAAAAAACACCTCAACTTTAAAAACATCATCACAACTTTAGGCAACTCTTTGTACATAAAACAGTAAAAGAGCAACAATTTTATCTGGAATAGCTCTTCGTCCTCTTGGTCGGTATTCAGTGAACAAGTATTAGGCAGCCAGCCGTGAGCTGTCAGTGTTGGACGTGGCCTAGAAGCCATGTGGCCATTTCTGCACTATTTCTCTGACCTCAACGCTGGTGTAAGCCACACTATCTAGTTAATTTAGTTCATATTTTCACACATTTCATTGTATATCTATGTTTTATTCTTCATCCTTCCACTGGGCTGAACTGCATGGTTATCCCAGTGCTCGGCAGGTCAGGCCCCAGGTGCTGATTCCCTTCTTTCAGCTGAGGATGAGCCTCAGAGCAGCTCTCTCTCCAAAGACCAGGACAGCTCATAATTTGGCCTGCCCATGATCTGCCCTGATGGAGCAAATCTCAACTTATTTGGACAATTTTGGCATTGCCAGCTTACGCATCTCTCTGTCATGTGAAATACACAGTGCCCGCATAAAGAAGATTAAATTTAATTTTTTTGTGTGTGTGCAACTTCCACGGCTGGTTAAGAAGATCAGATTAATTTAATTTTAGCTACAAAAATGGTGCCAAGGAGAACAATAGCTGGTCCCATGGCATCTAAAGAGATTAAAATAACTCTCTTGAAAACCTCAGTGCCCCATAAGGATGAACACTTTGCACAGATAGACGGGTCATAAGCTCATTGCATTTTTGAGTGTATTAGCCATCACATGGTTGAGCATGTCAGTGCTGATCTTTATCGCTGATTTGAATATCCATGGTTGCAAGTTTTATAGAAGTTGGAAAATTTAAAGATAAATATTTTCTGTAAGCCAGCCCTTAGCTCTCCAACTGCTACCTTTAAGCACCTGATAACAGCTGTGAGGAAACAGTATCTTAAAAGTCCTCCAAACCTTCATAGTCTGTAGGAGTTTGTCTGACCAAGGACTGAGAAAGGAAGTGGATTTACTGAGGAAAGCTGTCAGAAGAAAGATATCTATCTATTTACTATGTAGATGAGGTAAATGTATTTCTGCATAACTTTTATCTGTTCCCTTAGTGAGCTGGATTGCAAAATACTTGAGGCTCAGTAGTTTGATGTAGGGTATCCAAATAAGTAGATTCATGCCATGCTCTTGGCTGGTGATGGGCTATGCCAAACTTGGATATGAATGAATTTAGGGTGGGATCTGGACAAGCAGTACTGTGCTGAAAGGCAAGGAAAAGAAGCAGCTTGAACCTTGAAGACCACTGAAATGCTCTGCCTTAAAGATTAATTTTGTCATTTTTTTGTCAGCTGTGAGGTGGTTCAGGAATGCTCAGAACAAAGCCAGAGGGATATTCTACCCTTTTTAAAGTTGCTAGAACATTTTTGAAATTTAAGCTCCTTGTAAGTGTTGCCTACAGTTGGCATAGCTTACACTGCTCTGATTCTATATTTCCTATACTTTAAGTTACTGGCAAAGTCTAAAAATGGCTATTCTAGGAAATGCATTTCTTTTGGTGGTTGGCTTTGAGAAATGCATTGACTTCCTTTCAGCATTTATACAGAAGCAGGAGACTGCATACCCTAATTTAACTTTCTGCTCTGCTGCCTTTATCTCCTAAGTAAATAAAGCTGCTCACTATAGAGACTGTGACTACTTTGATTTTGAAATTTTGACAAAATGCTTCCTGTGGCAATTTGTGTGTGAGATAAACTCCCAGCATGACCATGATATCATGCCTTCGCAATGCTGAGTGGGTTCAGACAGCAGCAGCCCCTCTCTGCTCGTGTCCCTGGGCTGTGGCAGGCTCTGCCTGCCCTCTGCTGTCATCAAAACACCCCTGGACACCATGGCAGGGGACCTCTGGCACACTCCCCACCACTGACACTGCAGAACATGCACCTCTTTAACTTCTCTCAGCGGTATTAAAGTGCAAGTGCAAATAATGGGAATTAAACAGTGGCAAGGCTTCAAATCTGTTTCCATTTGGAAGGTGAAAATAAAAAGAGACAGAAAGAAGAGCATGAAGCAGGCAGCCCCAACACAAAGGGTGAGTTGAAAACCAAGGGAGCTTTTGCTCTATCTGCTTTGGCTGTTTAAAAAATTGGACTTGTATATCTGCAGCTGTCCCCATATAACAAATCCAGTTTTATTCCAGTCTTTTAGGGTTTCTCTCAGGAAATTGTCCATTAATAAAGAAACCATGGAGAATTTCCGTTAAAATGTGTTCTGTATTCTGAAGCAGAATTTTCATAATGCCGTCCCAGAAATCACAGACTGCATTTGAACAAGATTTTCAGTGAATTAGGAGCAAGAAAACTTTTCTCGTTTATTTATTGAGCTGTAGGAATTGCAGTATCACAGCAACTCATAGTGCCCATTTGGAAATTCTTATCGGGTACACAGGAGTCATACTCATTTCATTGATGATGAGTAAATATTGTTAAGATCAGACTTTTAGAGAAATGTCAGTATTTAAAGATGCAGATTAACACTCAGTCTGATCTACTGCAGAATGCAGGACTGTTAAATGCTAGCCAGGACAACAGCAAGTGTTTTGGTGGGTCTAGATATCTTACTGATCTGATTTGTCAGAAGATCAAAACAAACATCTGAATGAGCAAAGTAAGAACCTGGAAGTCTGAGTCACTTAGCTGCAAGAAGGAGCAGCCCAACACATTGCTCTTGTCAATTTAAAAAGTTTAATGTCTCACCTCTTTCTACTCCAGATCTGAATATGGTCCTGGTCTCTTGAATTCTTGTGTTTTCTTTTTATTAAATGAGTTCCCTTACAACGCCTCAGATTTTCTTGTAATCATGTAATTTTAGAATCATAGAATCCACTGAGCTGGAAGAGACCCATTTGGATCATGGAGTTCAGCTCCTGGCCCTGTGCAGGACACCCAGGAGTCACAGGATGTACATGAGAACATTGTCCAAATGCTTCCAGAGCTCTGTCAGGCTGTGACCACTTCTCTGGGGAGCCTGTTCCAGTGCCCAACCACCCTCTGGGTGAATAACCTTTTCCTGATATCCAACCTAAACCTCCCCTGACTCAGCTTCATCCTTCTTCATCTTCTTTTCTCTCAGTTGCTTTCTCTCCCTTTCTTCGGTGGAACCCCTTCCTTTATTTTTTCTGGTAGTCCAGTGTGCAGGCTGATCAAGATGTGTGCACTGGGACTTGGCTGTGCCACAGAGAAATACTGCCTGCCAAAAACCTCCCTTGTCCTCCCTTCTGGTTAGTTTTGCTGCTTTAATAAGCTTGTTCATAAAACATTTAAGGTTGCTCTTGTTATTTTTAGGTTTATCTTCCCCTTTCGCCTATCTTTTATGGGACAGACAGCATTCTTTGCTTCTCCGATTCCTCCCTCCTTTGATCTCCCTACTGTAAAATGGGGCAGCTTAATTAAGTGAAATGTTTCACTTTATGGTTTTATTTTCCTCAGAAAGCCTCCTACACCTCCTGTTACTTACCAACCTGTTTTCCACAACATGAATCACCTTCCAGCTTGTAACAGCCTTTTGCAATGTTGCAAACCTTGTCACCTTTCCTCATGTTGGAGGTCAGCAGAGAATTGCAAAGTGCCACCTGCAAAGTCAAGTTCACTCATCCAGCTGGTCTCAGCTCAGCTAGTCTCAGATTAATGCTCAATTTTCTCAGCTTTTTCTATCAAGGGCACAGGTGTGTTAAATGGAAAAGCAATACAAAGTGCTCAAGAAAAAACACTAGAACAAATCTTGCACAAACAATGGGATACAACCATTTAAAAAATAATAGGGGATTTAAAATTTTTGTTTGTTTTGTTTGTGCTTTTTGTTGCAGGGGAGGAGTGACTTTGATTCCATTTAAAATTGGCACTGTTTGTTTTTCTCCTGCAAACCTGATTTGTTCCCCTCACCCCAGCCTTCCTCCAGGCTCACTGAGGAGCTTCAAGGTTACTGTGAAAGTCTCCCCACTGAGTGTTCAGTCCTCCTGGCACTCATCTTGTAGAGAGCATTGAGGGATTTTGTAGACATTATAGACAAATACAGAATGGACTGTGAAGCTCTGATGAGTGTACAGAAAAGAAGCCAAGTGGTGTTTAGGCCTCACAGGAGCCTGAGTTTCATCTTCAGTGCCTTGGCTGTGTTGGAGATCCCCATTTAACACAGAAGTGAGAGGATGATGGTAGTTCCTCTATTTTATCTGCTGTTTGCTTAATGAATCAGTGATAACACAATTTATAAAGAGCCTGGAAGACTTGACAGTTGCTAGTTTTGGCTAAGATAAGAGATAATTAACCTGTGAAAAGTA